CTCTAGTACATCTCATTCGTCCAGGGCTGGGCCTTCTGAACCTCTTTGGCTGGCGATGCTGCCGATGCAGCCAAAAAGGGGAAAAAAAGTGCGGCACCCGTTCATTTCCACCTTTTCAGCACAAATCAGGCACAGGAAAAGAGGCTCGCAGGAAGTGATGGATTTAAATTTGGTGATGCATATAAATGAGGCTTAAACCAGCAATATATTTCCCAGCCATTTTGTTCTGACGTGGCCATAATGCGCCAGGTCCTTCAGGGTTTGGCCTACTGGGCTGAAATAGCTGTGCCTGCCAGGTAGAAAATAAAACCAGTGCACCCAGGCCAGTTCGTTGTCTGTTGGCACAAAGCAGAAATCCACATTGGGAAAAAGAGGCTCAGAGATGCTGGCGGTTTGAAGGGACATAAATCAGGGGCCCATCAATTTCTTATTTCACTGAGCCCACGTTGGAGGCAGCGGGGCAGTCGTTACACCATTCGTGCAGGTCGCTACTTATGCGGCACAATTGTGTTAATGGAAATAAACTTCGAACATCATTTCAACCGAGGCCTTCCTCCTTCATGTCGCCAGGAAGTTCAGACTTCCATTTTTATCCTGATTGACTATTTTGAGGTGACCCTCAGTCAAATGTTGTTTCTTACAAGTTACTGGTAACTTTGTGCGAGGATTTTACCCCTAAGCATACCTGCATAAGGCCCCTGCAGCATACACTTGCCCACCCTAAGTGAGGGCGGGCCCCTGAATCTCAATGAGCCCTCAATTCGTCAACTTTTGCAAATCTTGGTGGGCGCCAGACAGTTGCCACAGGGCAGTTAGTTACATCTGCCTTGCGCGTGAGAATCTGAAATATTCATGAGCGTGGGGAAGGCAGGGAACACCGCACATTTGTGCCTGGGTGGTTGGGCATTCCCTAACCACTTCTGAAACATTATTCACCTGTGCACAGTCGTGAAATGCAGATCCCAGGGCTCGATCCCTAGACTTAACCTTACCTGTGTACAGTATCTGTGTCGACCCCGAGAATCCGTGACCTGTGTATTTGTAACAGTTTGTAGACTGTTGTAGGGTCCGTAGGTAGCAGGGGTTCGATCTGTAGACCTGTCGCATAGGAGTCTTAGGTCTAGAAGTCGTAGCTGTAGCTCCTCCGAAAGGTCAAGGTCGTAGCTGCTACAGTCCTGAAGGGTCAAGGTCGTAGCTGCTACAGTATTGAAAGGCCAAGTCCACGGCCTTCCGGAAGGTCCTAGTAGTGGCCTTTCGAAGTTGCTCACGTTTAGGCTGAGGCAAGTGGGCAAGTGGTGGAGTCTGCCCGTGCTAAGTCAGCGGTCCCAGTCCCAGTCAGTCCTAGTCCAGTCAAGCAAGTACCGCATGGGACTGTGTGCACCACGGGCATGGGGCCAGACCAACGAGATACAGAAGTATAAATCAAGAGGCAGTGCCCAGCCATTCATGCATTCCTGCGTAAGCCATGCGGAACCGCTGCCAACAGCGACTTGTGCGAGGTGGTCTGCAGTGAGCCCGAAGACGAAGTGGGCGAGGAGGAGCTTAGCCATAGCGATAGGTTAGCAGCGGCCATAGCCGCCATAGCTGATAGGAGAGGTAGCGTGTAAGTGTGTGCGTGTGTGTACAGCGTGATGCGTGCGGGATATCCAGGGTGATCCTCTGTGTGTGTGTGTGTGTGTGTGTGTGTGTGTGTGTGTGTGTGTGTGTGTGTGTGTGTGTGTGTGTGCCGCCATAGCCATTTAAAGTGAGCTCTTATCTGAGCTGCGTTCTTGGTTACTATATCTCTGAGTTTTGAGTGGGCGCTTGTCGCCAGTTTGCTGTGCAACCTGTTTGCATACATATGAAGAGAGAAAGATAGCGAGTCTGATTGCACTTCAGTCCCGACCAGTTTGCTGTGCAACCTGTTTGCTACACAATAGCTGTTCGGTGCTTCGTGTCGCATACCAAGATGGTACAGACCAGAACCAAGAACCGACCTCTCACAGATAGAGCAAGGCACAGCGGAAGACTGGAATACCAATGATCAGACCAATCAATGTCCAAATAAAAACTGGACATACATCATCATCATCACACGGTGTGAATGGCCTGGCGCCACACACAAGGACGAAGGTGTCAGGGCTAGCATACACAGATGAGGAGGGGGAAGAGACGAATCAGATGGGGGAGGAGATGAGAATGTCGTCAACCCAAATGTCGCTGATATCAAGATGAGAATGTCGTCAACCCAAATGCCGCTGATATCAATCCCAAATAGTCCCCCCAACGTCTCTGTCCAATGTCGAGTCTAAATCCCACATGTCGTCAATCTCTCTCTCTCTCTCTCTCTCTCTCTCTCTCTCTCTCTCTCTCTCTCTCTCTCACACACACACACACACACACACACACACACACACACANCACACACACACACACACACACACACACACACACACACACACACACACACACGCATAGCCGGATAAGAAGAAGTCAGCGGTAGAAGGGAAAGAAGAAGGTGCTGGACTGGAGGAAGAAGAAGAAGATCTCTCTCTCTCCCTCTCTCTATACCAGGTACTGACCTGCCGCCTTGATGCAGGTACGAACGTGCTGAAGACGAAGCTGGAGCGATGACATCGCTGGTAAGTCTCAAGTAAGTATCGTGGCCTCCGCCACAGTCTCTCTCCACTCCCTGCGCTACCGCCCGGCGCTGGCAGACTACCGCTACAGTGCCGTCATCCGAAGAGAACCACTACTCCATCCTCGACTCAATGCCGAACTGAGGCTGGACCCAGCTATATATAGCTCTGGGCCGGCCTCAGCGGCTGGATCTGGCGCTCAAACTGAAGCTGGGCCTCAAAAGTTCGGTGCCCAAACTGCGGCTGAGCCTCAAGCGCCTACTGATATGGCGCGGCCTCTGAATCAGGGTCTGGTGCCAAAGCGCGCGCCAGGGTCGTAGCCGAAACCAGGCCTACAGGGCCTCTAACTGGTACTGGTCCTACTCAGGCCTAATACTGGCCTACCGACCCTGCGGGCCCCTACTGTGAGCCGAAACGACAACGACACCACACACTACGGACCCCTAGCCTACCTGGCAGGGCCCTGCTGGGCCCGTGTGGAACTGAGTATGCCACACACCCCCCTCCTTGAAAGACCCGAGCTTACTTGCGAGGGCGAAGATGTGTGTTGGAGGGAGTGACGAAGTCCGGGTGGGAGGAGCCGGTTTTGCAGCTTCCGTGACTAGCCGTTTCTTCTCATAGTCGGCGTAGATAAGTGGTGTCGAGGCTTGTAAGGCTGCTCATGAAATCCATCTCATGTCGTCGCGGTCGCACCACCTGAAGGTGACCTTGTACTGCATTGGCTTGGTGCCATGCTTGCGATGAGTGATGACGCAATCGACAACCTGATGACCATCCATGGAAGGAGGGTCCTGCGATCGTCGGCCCGGGAAGTCGTCGCTCTTGGCTGGTGTAAAAATGTGGCCAGCTTGATAGCGTGGAAGACCGGGTGGACTGTCAGATGTAGCGGGATTACGATCACAAAAGAAGGGTCATCGGGCTCATCGCCTGCGGCTGCAGTGACGGTCCATGGTCCAAACCACTTTGGAAGTAGCTTGCGCGATACGTCTTGTTCAAGCGCAAACTCCTCCGTGGAGACCAAAACAAGGTCGTCGACGCGGATGGGGCACGACACGCAACGCCGATTGGCTTGCTGTTGCATGCGGACTTGAGCCTTTTGCATGTTGGCGCGGGCTTTAGCCAACAAGTCCCAATACTTCCAAATGGATGCGGGAGAGCAAGTGGCTTCATTGTCAGCAGCCCGTGGGAATGGGAGGTCAGCAAAGATACCGCCCTTCCGACCACCATGATGCACCCCGAATGGAGTCACGCCGATCACCGGATGCAACGAAGTGTTGTAGGCAAACTCGACGTCGAGGAGGCGGTCAACCCAATCCTTTTGATCCGGACGGATAAGACGAAGCATCATTTGAATGGTTTGATGTGCCTGCTCCGTTTGCCCGTCCGTTTGTGGATGTCGAGCCGAACTCGGTTTCATCTCGGTGTCGGGCTCCTTCATGAGAGCAATCCAAAATGCCGACATAAAATGAGCGGTGCGGTCGCTGACCATGACTTCCGAAACGTCATGGCCACAATTCCAGCCGGTGTGCACGAGTCGCGCAATCTTGGGAGCCGTGGAGTAGTACTTGTGGGGAAGAAATCGTGCATACTTGCTCAATCGGTCGACTACCGTGAGAATGTCGTCGTGCCCAAAGTGGTCGCGGGGGAATGAACCGGGAACGTCCATAGCAATGGAGAGGCCGGGTTCCCGCGGGATAGACAACAAGCGCAACTCGCCGTAGGGATTGCGGTTGCGAGGTTTGCTTCATTGACAAACTTCACAATAGTCGCAATACCGAGTGACGTCGGTAATGAGGTCGGGCCACCGGAATCATTGCCGAAGTCATGCGATCATAAGATTAAAGTCCTTGCCTCGTGAGTGAAGTAGTCGTTGATAGTGGTTGGTCGGCCGATGATCAGAGTATAGTTGCTCACAGAGCGTGGCGTATTCCGGATCGAACTTGTACGCTCTCACAAAATGCTGATGAAAGGCGTCGTCGAAACTGAATTCGTGGTGACTCAATGCGCAAAGATCTGATCTTCGCAAGTGAGCATCCGCGGCTCGGTTGGAGAGGCCCGAAATGTGTTTTGGCGTGAAGTGAAATTGGTCGATGAAGTAAATCCATTGAGCGATCGTGCTGCTCACCGTGTCTTGCATTATTCGTGGCCCGAGTGAACCGACGACGGCCGAGAAGGAAGTTCGAGTACCGTGACAAAAGCGAGCAACTCCTTTCGCGCATCATCAACTGAGTTGATGGGAGGCACCTTTTGGCTGAAGTACTCAACCGGATGCCAATCTACTCCGTCGTGTTGTTCCAAAACTGCACCCATGCCGTAGCCGGAAGCGTTCGTAGTCACTCTCGTCAGCAAGGTGGGATTGGGATTGTAGATACTCAAGACAACAGCAAGAAGCAACGCCGTCTTCAATTTATGGAGCGAACTTCGAACTTCGTCGGTGAAATTGAAGGGCACTTTTAAAGACTGCAATCTTGACAAGGGTGCGTCAATCCGTGCGTATCCGTCGCTGAAGTGTTGATAGTACCCGACCAATCCCATAAAAGAGCAACCTTTCATGGTGTTGGTCGGTTCCAACCAATCTTGGATGGCCTTGATCTTGTCCACAAGCGGACGGATGCCTTGCGGTGGCGCAAAGTGGCCCAAGTACACGAGCTCTTGTTGTGCGAATTCGCACTTGGCTCGGTTGGCCTCATACTTGGTCATACGTGGCCTGTCCAAAACAGCGCGTAGATGCGCAATGCGCTCTTCCAAGGTCCGGCTATTCACCAAACTGTCGTCCAGATTGATAAAAACGAACTGGTTGAGCATGTCACGAAACTCCGTTGTCATTGCCGCTTGGAAGGTGGTCGGGGCATTCGTGAGGCCGAACGGCATTACAACCCACTCGAACTGCCCGTACCGTGTCTTAGACGCGTTTTTGTAACCATCTCTTGGATGGATCTCGAGCTGGTGGTAACCCGCCTTGAGGTCCAACTTGGAGAAGTATTGGGCGACGCCCAAGCGTTCGAGAAGATCGTCGATGCGTGGGAGCGGACCGACATTCTTAACGGTTTGAGCATTAAGCCTGTGATAGTCAATGCATAACTCCTTGTTCTCCTTCCAGACGAAGAGAATGGGTGCACCGCTAGGGGGAATCGAGCTCTTGGCAATGAGGTCATCGAGTTGTGTTTGTAGCACTTTTCCTCCTCGCTCATGCAGTAGATACATTCGCACGGGGATACGGCCCCGTCCTCGAGAATGATCTCGTGACGAATTGGCCGATCCAATACGATTTCGACGGGGGCTTCGAAGACAGCGCCATAGGAGTCAAGGCTCCACAATACGTGGATCCGTGGTTGTTCCGTCGTTGGCTCGTCGGGAGGAGGGAGGGCGTGCAAGAAGCAAATGCCCATCTCCTCCACGTCGTTGGAATTGTGAATGCTTGTCGGAAAGACCACGTGATAAACCAATCGAAGGGTGCGGTGGGGGGACCGTACATTGTACAAGTACCCCGTTCCGGTCACGAACGTGAATGGTGCGGCGATACAAGTTCATTGGGTCGTCCACGTTGCGCAGCCACGACATGCCCAAAATCATGTCGAACTTTGTGTCCAAGATGTCGAAGGACACGGCCTCGAGTGCGTGCGGGGCAAAGTACACGAGGACGAAGTCAACGCACCGGCCAATGTGACTTGCGTGGGCTGCGACTTCCTTCGAACTCTCGGCCCAAGGCCGGCGTGCGCCATGAAGTGCTCGGGGCGAAGTACACGAGTAGCTCCACAATCAAACAAGGCGTTGCAGTTCGCCTTCCCAATCTGATTGCGGATGTAGAGTAACGATGTGTCGATGGTGTGTGGCGTACTCGCGATCGATCTTCGCAATGTATTCGCGAAGGTCGACAACCGCTACTCCGTCTTCCATCAACGAATTTGGTACTGCAACGTGCAAGTAGTTGCGTAGTTCTGCAATTAGGGCGTTGCAATGCCGCTTCGGCAAGGAACCAGATGGGGGAAGAGGCATCCAACAAAAGTCCTCCCACGTTAGTGGCTCGAGGTCCTCGAGTCTAGACCATACCGACGAGTTCCCAAACAATGTCTGCAAGGATGTTGGTTCACTTGGCGATGGTGATGAAGTCGAGCACGCATATGGCACTTGCACGTGGAGAGGTTGGTCCAATGGACGGACCAACTGAACAACATAGTCTTTGTAACTCTCTTGAAGACTTGCGACATACAAATGTTCCCCGAACGTGATGGGGGAAGAGGCATCCATTGGAAATCCTCCGGCGTCAGTGGGTAGAGGTCCTCAAGTCTAGACAATACCGACGAGTCCCCACATAATGTCGGCCAGGATGCTGGTTCACTTGACGATGGTGATGAACTCGCGCACACATCTCAAACAGTATCTCATTACCCGGTTGGTTGCTGCTGCAGCTGGCGCAGGTCAGCCTGTACTACGGCCATTTGTTGGTTGAAGGTCACCGGCCGTTGGAAGTTGTGGAGATTTCCGATCAGTGCTACCAAATGATCCGTTTGTTCCTCTACTTCGCGGACCGATGGATCGGTACTAGAGGATGCCATGTGCCTGTGTGGCACATCATCCTTCTCCAATTCCTCGAGGCAGTCGTGGAAACTCTTGTGAGCCTCCACATAATCTGACATGATACATGCTTGCCGAGCCAACTCCACTCGTCGCAAGTTGCAAGTGAGGAGGAGTTGGTGCATGAGGTGGGAGAGTGCTGCCTTGGTCCGTTCCTCCGCAGTCGGTTCCGTGTGCATCTCCATCGAAACAAAGTTCCATTCTTGGAGTGTGGCGCTATGAGCTACGTCCTGCTCCATGAGGACGAATGGGGCATCTTTACGAAGTTGTGATAGTTGGCAGCTGCTTCGGCTTGCTCCTAGCGCCGCCATTACTCCACGTCTCGTGCAATGGCGTTGAGGGGTGCGACTTCAGCTACCTCCTCACGTCGTTGTTCCTCTTGTACTTGCTGCATGAAGGTGGACAGGCGGGCCACGAAGGCCGTCATCGTCTCACCCTGCTGCCGGACTGGCGCAGCCTCAAGGGCTCCCGCAGGTGTCTCACTGTGAACCACCTGTTGGACCAGTGGGACCAGCGGGTTCACGTTCCACACCTCGCGTGGACTGCCGGATGCGGCATTGTCCACCGTGGGGTTGCGCTCTGCCTCCATTGCACAGGGGAAGGGCAGGGGTAGCAGGTACTCTGCTGCAGCTGCCCGCCCTTCACGTTCTGCGATGCATTTCCAGCGTCGGAGGATAAGTTGCGGTTAGTGGTACTATGTCGGCTGATGCGGCACTGGCTAAACATGGCACTTGCCAATGTGGCACTTGCTGACATGACACTTGTTGACATGGCACTTGCTGACATGGCAGCTGACATGGCACTTGCCGACATGGCACTACTGTAGTACAAAGAGGGGTGGGAAAAAAACACGCAGACAGGCAAACGACCGGACTGCAATTTCCATTCCAGATACTAATCAACAAAAAAAAAGCTCTTTTTTTTTTTTTTTTTTTTTTAATCTGTTGATTTGAGGATTAGTGAGGTGTAATGAACCCAGTCTGGCAGATACTCAGAAGTTGTCAAACATCACTAGTCTCATTATCTGCATCGAAGTCTCCAAATCGTGAAGTGACATCTCAAACAGTATCTCATTACCATCAAAAGACAAGAGTGGAGGGGGAACAGACAAAGGAGAAGATGAAAGATCACACAATAATAATCCCTTCAGATCCCTCTCCTTCTTCGGGCTTCTTCCCTTTCCACGTCAACAATGATAATAAGTATATCCCTGATCACACACAATAGTGCCACGTGGCACTTTATCTTGTGAAGACCATGAAAACATAGCAGATTCCAGTGCCGATGTCAAACTCAGGTGAGTACCCGATCTCATTCATCCACAGATCCCGATCTTCCTCCTCCTTGCAACCAGTCACCTTATGTAGAAGACAGCGTGGACAATGCCATGTCAACAATCGAGATAGATGGTATATGCCACATCATCAATGAAGACCGGTGGCAGTGCCACATCAGCATGCACTATAAACCAGTGGCAGCGCCACATCAGCATGCAATGTAGACCAAAGGTAGCGCCACATCAGCATACAATGTAGTCCAAAAGTGGCACCATATCAGCATGCAGTAGTACAGAGGTAGCACCGCATCAGCAATGTAATCCAAAGATAGCGCCACATCAGCATGCAATGAAGTCCAAAAGTAGCACCACATCAGCATGCCACCTCAGCAAGCATGGCGCACAATGCAAAAAGCGCCAGCGTGCTGCCTTCACCTCGTGTTGCCGTCCGCATCGCCAGTGCACAGCCAGCGTCTTGCCAGCATCGAGCCAACATAATGCCAGCGTCTAGTCAAAGTCGAGCCAGCGTCAAAGCAGCATAGCAAGACTAAATGCTCGACTCACTCGAGGCCAGCCTTAAGTAGCAATTGTCAAGGTTGTCTGGTCTCGGGTGCTTTCCCCACATTCGTCCAGATTGACACACAACTGAAGGCCCAGATTGTGCAGTTGCAGACTTCTCCCTTGGACCTAATATTGCCTTGGTACCTGCATACAAACAAGTGTGTGTGCTTGACCAGCGGCCTATGCTAGGTACCTTTGGACTGTTGGGATCTCGACAGTTGACCAAAGTCAATTGCCACACGTCCAAACCCTGAGTCCTCATGGGCTGAGGGCGGCCGAGTGGGCCCTTAATTTTTCCACAAGACATATAGCATGGGTTATCGGATTCCTGCCGGCCCAGTTTTCGAGTTCCATCGCAGAAAATACATCAACTCTCACTTAACCCACGTTCATATGCAGCCACAATATCAAGAGCAGTAGGCAGGAGTTCTTTCCTACTAAACCATTTGGCTTAGGTGGAGGTTGGGACTTGAACGTTACCTTGTTCTTCTTTTCAGGTCGTCCTCTGCCACCTGTACAGAAATAGCCATGTGCCAATCTTTTCTCAACTTCGTAGCCTCCATTCATAGAGGGTGGAATCATAGATGGCCTATTCGAGAAAGTATCACTTTCTCCATTCATAGAGGGTGGAAGACACGGTATGTCCTGAGGTGTGGAGGTATATCTATACGATAAGAAGGTTCATCTTCACCTCCAATTACTTCGGGAACTTCCCAAGGCCCATAGCAGACAGGTAGAAATTTATGTGACACATTTTCCTCTAAGGAAGACTCTTTAGACTTAACCAAGACAAAATCCCCTTCTTGGAATTGTGAAGGATGACGATGTTTAGCTTGTTCAATCATTTGCAACTGGGGTTTCTGTATGTTTTCCTTCACCTTCTTAATATCTTCTTCATAGAGAACTTCGAATTCACGCGTACCTGGGGGTAGCCTTTGAACTTGGTCCCGTGCTAATGCATCGATGGGATGTCTAGGCTTTCATCCTTTATGCAGTGCGTAAGGCGTTCTTCCTGTAATGGTATATATACTATTATTGTATAGCAATTTTAGGTAAGTTCTCATCCCAATCGATTCGGTCAGGTCGAACATACATTCGCAAAAGTTATTGGCAAAGACGATTCATTTGCTCAGTTTGGGCATTCGTTTAAGGATGTCTACTTGACGACATGGTCAACCTCGTTCCATAAACTTCCATCAACTTTTGCCATTGTAGACTGGTGAACCGAACATCTCTATCTGATACAATGGTTTTCGAAAATCCATACTCAGATGCCTATCGCATTTGAAACTTTCGAATGACGAGTTCGGTTCTAGCTTCAACAGGCAAAGCTATGAACATAGCATACTTAGACAATCTGTCTACAATGACCATTACCTGATTGTTCGTTTCGACTTTTTAACGAGGCTTATAAAGTCAATAGAGATAGACTCACCTGACTCACTTGGAATAGTCCCATTGGATTCTCATGTGAGGGCTTGTTTCTTTGACAAACAAGACAAGTCCGCACATACGTTAGTACATCTTCCTTTATTCTTTTCCACTCAAAACGTACACACATCGGCATACGTCTTCTGAAAACCAACGTGACCTTCCACATCATGGCATCCTCCGATGATTAAACTCTTGATTGGTTCTACGTGAGGAACACACAACCGTTCTTCGATTTATCCAGCAAGAAGAGTAAGTCATCAGTCATTCGATATTCCGGAAACAACTCATGGTTCTTTCGTAGAGTTTCATTGATAGGACTCCAAATACGATCACTCCTATAACCCTGGCGAATTGTTTTTTCAGTTCATTTCCTAAGTGAAGGTTGCGCTCACTACCGCTTGCTGGGTCAAGCATTTCTTGTATTTTGTA